ACCATTAGTGCAAATATGGCTTCCCTTTATAGAGTTTCAACAATAATATTAAATACGTGACCTCTTAATCGGGGGGCAAAACTCACTCTGATCAGATACCTTAAGTGCCTTAAAGAGCTCTACATCTGATTTTTAAATGTGCAATAAAACGACATAAATCAACAGGACTCAACAGCTCTGGAAACATAGGAAGCTTTACAGAAAGCTGTGTTTTTACAAGTTCGCTGAGATTTCAATTTCTAAACATAACCTAAGATTCTAAACAGTTTGTCAGGATCTTGCCTTTTATACCAACAGCCTAGAAATACCATATATTTAGAAGTCTCATTTCTATCTCATTTCTTTGTAATATCAGGATATGGATTTTATCTTTCATTATAAATGTAAGGTGGCCTTATTTAAAATTTAAATTGTCTTAAACACACGATCATTAGTGATTTTGTACCACTTGACATAATAAAATGTGAAACAAGTTCTGAAGTGTAATATACTCAAGTCCATCAATAAATCCTCTGTAAATGGGACCCATCAAATGCTTGAAGACATTTATGTTCTTTAAAGAAACTAATCTATCAGGAAAACCATTTTCTTGAAATCTCAAAAGCTTTCACCTTTAATTTACAAAGGAGCTCGTCTTAGAAATACTAAATGAAAATTATTAATGTCATTAATTAAGTCTTTTTATATCCTTCATTTCCAATAAAATTTTTTAAATTATTTCTATTATTGTCATTCTGAACACAATGTCATTTGGCATGTTTTAATAAAAATCACTTGCCGTTGTTTAGTAAAACTTCTATAGAATTCCTTGACTAAGATTCTCTTTTAAAAATTGTGTTAAATTAAGTCACTTACTACAAACTGCCCACTTTTACTGCTACAGGAATGTGGGGAAGCTGAGTGGCCCACTTCAGTGTCACATCCTGATAGATGCGTAACATGTTATTATGGTTTCCGATCAAAGTATTGATTGTTCCTTCAGAAACTGTAGGTACAAGAAAGAGAGAACACTGAGAAAACAGTCATTTGCAACAAGGTATTTCTTTTAGGGGATTTATGACACAAATGATTCTAATACCTTGATTTTAATTCATAAAGATCTTTAAATAATAAAGCATTTTTCAACATCAATCTACCAAGATAACAAAGGGAAAATCAGTTTACAGACTTGGAAACTATAACTAAGACAGTGGCCAACATTTTTGCATTTTATCTAGGAAGCATGAATTTCATTAGTATTTATATGTTTAAGCTAATGATTCACTGGGCATTCACTACAGATAAGTTATTCTACTAGACGTTACTAGCCGCCATTCTCCTTATAAAATAGTCTGATGTTCTCTTGAAAGCATTTTGAACAGCTAAATTATGAAAAGCACTAATGTACATTGAGGACAATTATACACGTTATTTTATACAAAGTAAAACAACTGACCAAACCAAATGTGTGCTTTGTATGAAATTTCTGTTTAAACTTTAAAAGTTAAAATTCCTATTACATAGTAAACATTAAACTGTTTTTCTTGATGTCTAGAAAATACGTGTGTAAGTTATTTTTTTCTGACCCACATAATTTTAGCCTTCACGTATGGAAAAGACAAAAGAACGTTTTATACACACCTGAGCAATAGGGGAGAAAACAACTGGGGCTACAATTGAGTTTCTTCATAAACCGAATTTGTCCATTTTCCTTAAGGCAAAAAAAATTTCTCTCACCAAGAACAAAAACAGAAGATGTTGACTGACTGAAAGAGACAATACATATGTCAAGGGCTTGCTCTCCAATATTCAGAGTCCAATCCACCTGCAAAACAAAATTCAAGATCAATTTAACTGTTAGAAAGAGAAAATTTAGCTACTTTCATATAAATCCAATTAAGAAATTGCTTTGCTACAGAGCAGAAATATAAAGGGTATACTCTCCTCCTTCACTTAATTTGTTTTTGCTATGACTATATTTCTAATAATATATCCTCAGCAGGTTTTGCCCCATTTCTTACCAAATGGTATTAACTATTCCAGTGTTCAAAAATACTCATAAAAAGTTATTAAATTCACTGAAAATTTCCATAGAAAATCTATGTTTACCATGAAAATATAACTTAATAATCTGTAAAATCTGTTCTGATGGCACAGTGCCTGAGGCATTTGCCTGCTAATCAGGTAATTAATTTGATAGTTCAAACCCACTAGCCACTTCATGGAAGGAAGATGGGGCAACCTACTTCCATAAAGATTTACCTCCTTGGAAACCCAATGGGGATCACTTTGAGTCTGAATCAACTTGATGGCAGTGGATTTTGGTGGGTAAAACCTATAGACAGTATTGTTGGAATTATAACATTTTAATACAAAATAATTTAAAAGTATATCAATATGCACATATAGAGCAGTTGCTAACCTGATATTGTCATACACTTGGGATCTTCTATATATAGAGCCTCCAGAATATCTTCATACCTCTGGAACATGGTCAATGATCAATAAATGATTACTAAAATAATGAAGGATTGACTTTAAAAGGGGCATGTAAAATAAAAGTTTTTCATAATTTAATCTCCAAGCTATTAATATTTCTAAATAAAAAAACTCAAAGGAGCAAACCAAAACAAAAAACCAAACTAACTGCCTTTGAGTTGGATCTGACTCATAGCAACTCCTCCTTGCGTTTCCGAGATTGCCCAACCTTCCTTCCAAGGAGTGACTGGTGGATTTTCACTGCCAGCCTTCTGGTTAGCAGTGAAATGCTTAGGCATTATGCCACCAAAGCTCCTACTCAAAGCAGCAGAGATATACAATTTGAAAAACAATGACTGATAGGCATATATATATATATATATATATGGTATAGGGTAATGACAGTGAAATAGTTCCACACACAAAAAAAATCTAGACAACCATAAAGTCGAACCCTTTTGCACATATAGTACTATGTTGTCAGTGATGGCAAAAACATTGATCTAAGGTGGACTGATGGGTAGACAGGCTGAACGATCAGATATTTCTAGGCAGGGGGGAATGTGCCCAAGACCATGGATAAGGTTGGCAGACAATGCTTCTACAAGTGTTTATTTGTATGTTCTGTAAGAATGCCCAGGTATATAGTAGAGCTGACAAGGGACAAGGTTATAGTTACTTCTTGACCACAGTTGGCTACCCAGAGTGAGTGAGTAGTTGGACCTGTGGGCTTGGGACCATGGTCACAGCAGACATCAAGCTCAATTGGCATAACATACTACACAAAAACATTGTTCCACATCTTACTTCAGCAAGTAGCAACTGTAATCTTAAAAGCTTGCAAGCAGCCATCTAGATGCAATGATGGGTCTCTCCTCGTCCAGAGCAAAGAAGAATGAAGAAAACCAAAGACACATGGAAACAATTAGTCCAAGTGACTGGTACACCATGCCATCCTCAGCCTACACGACTATGAGACCAGAAGAACTAGGTGGTGCCCAGCTACCCCTGTCAAT